TAAAGATTTAATTAATGTAAAACATTAATGTAAACATCTTATACTTAATGGTTCCTGATCACTGCAAAATTTTACTGGTAATTGTGAATTATTTTATGCGAAAATATATCAAGTATTATTCCTTAGTTAAAAATGAAAAAATGAAAACTTAACGGTTGTCTAATACACTATCTAAAATGGCTGGGACTCAGCTGGCTTGTAAGGAAAAGATAGGGATGCTTTTTAAATAATTATTGCTTCTAATATGTAACTTTATCCTTGCTGCTACTTTAAGATAAATAGAAAAGGTACAACTGTTTTTTACAATACCATGCATTAGTATTGACTATGGATTAAGGCTTAACTTTCCTTTTATAATGCCACACCTGTGTATCAACTATTAATATCAGCCAATACACTGAAGATGGCATTAATGGCTCAATCAGTTTTTTCATGCAGCCGTCTGTCACGATTTTTAATTTACTAATTAACTGGCGATTAAATCCAAATGCCAAAGGTGCAATAACATGTAGCCTCAAATTCACTCTCTTCTGATTTCTATATGTTACGATCAACAATAGTTTAGATAATTACACAAAAAATGAAAATAGGCGAACCCAATCTCGGAGCAACTCGTTCAGTGCTGTTGTAACTTCGGGGCAGTTGAACTGATACGGAGATAACAGGGAAGCCCACATACAAATTATTAAGAAAATATTGTATGTCGCCAAAATATTATTTATCACAACATAAAAAACATTTTTAGAAAAGTCATTGGTCTGATCATGGGCTTTCAAGAGATTGGTCTGATTAATATTTAATTATTTGCATGCATGTAAATTCCCCATTGTTCCAACTTCATCAGTGATTTTGTTGTATGATTAATTTTTTTTGATGATTAACTTTCCATGTTTCAAAATAAAGCAATAATGCTCACCTTCAGTCAACAAGGCACAGACGTGAACAATATCGTACCTAAAACACAGCAGTGTGACAGTGAAGAATTTAGGACGGAAAATCCAAAATGGCCACCTTAAAATTTACCAAGAATGCCCAAAAACTGATCAGTTCTTAACTTTGATACGTAGAAACATCCCTGAAAATTTCAGATGAATCCATCAAATGGTTTGGCTGGAAACCTGTAGACAAGTCTTGAAAGTGAAGCTTTTAGGAAGGAAAATCCAAAATGGCCACCTTAAAATTAACCCAGAATGCCCAAAAACTAATCAGTTGTTAACTTTGATCCGTAGAAACATCCCTGTAAATTTCAAATGAATCCGTCAAATGGCTTGGCTGGAAACCTGTAGACAAGTCTTGAAAGTGAAGATTTTAGGACGGAAAATCCAAAATGGCCACCTTAAAATTTACCCAGAATGCCCAAAAACTAATCAGTTGTTAACTTTGATACGTAGAAACATTCCTGAAAATTTCAGATGAATCCGTCAAATGGTTTGGCTGGAAACCTGTCGACAAGTCTTAAAAGTGAAGATTTTAGGACGGAAAATCCAAAATGGCCACCTTAAAATTTACCAAAAACTAATCAGTTCTTAACTTTGATACGTAGAAACATTCCTGAAAATTTCAGATGAATCTGTCAAATGGTTTGGCTGGAAACCTGTAGACAAGCTGAAAAGTGAGACGCCGCCGCCCGCCCGCCACCCGCCCGTCAAGCTGACGACAATATCGTACCTTTATGAGGTACGATAAAAAGTGAAATGTTTTCAATAAATTGTTTTTGAAGGATTTTCCCCAATAAATGTGAATTTACTTGCACGAGAATTTTGGTTGTCACAAACATCTAATAATAAGAACTTGGGCTATTTCTTAACCATTAGCAACTCTGGGAGTAGCAAATCCCTGTACAATAATACACATTTTCTCGGATTTATCCTCATTTTGGATATTTTATGGTTGAAATTACCAGGCAGCAGTAGTGTCTCTTTCAATGAAATTCAATACATAACACTGTATCCAATTTCAAACCTGGACGCCAATCTGACCATTGTTATAAACTTGTTGGCAAAACAGACAGAAATGTTAGCAAAGAAACGGCAACATTGAACACAGCATTACATGTTTCAAATATGTGTATTTTAAATTACATTTATTTCAGATATTGTGGTGTGAAGGCAAGAAATGACCCTAAAATCTTATTCCAGAATAATCTCAAATGAATTCTAGCCATCTAGCATCAGTATCAGATAGACTATACAAACAAGGTGTCTACGTAGAACATTTGCGATATATCAAATGGTAATGTAATGTAATGGTAGGTAACTTTGAATGATTACTCTTAACTAAATCATCAAGGAAACATTGACAGCCAACATAAGGGATAATAATACATTAGAACCCAAGGGAAATAAAGCATTCATTGATGAAGTGACCAGTAAGAGTAGCAAACTTGAGTGACAACTCTAAATTTACATCCATTGTTTTGGAATCCATCAATCATGTCAAATACCTACTGATTTATTAGAATAACTTCGACACAATTGGTAAAACACTATATTTTTCAATGGGATCTCAAAAAGGTCGAAAAAGGCAGATATTCTTATATTCAAAAGTTCCACTATAATTTTCCTGTAATTTCCTGATCTATACTTTATTGTAAGAAAGAAGATGTGATGAGTTTCAGTAGAATAATTTCCAAGACTCAAGCGACAGGACATTCAGAAACTGGTTAAATGATTAATGTATCATTATAAGATTCCTTCCTGGAGAACTGAAGGGGATGCATCATCTAAGACAGCATATAATTACCTAGACTTGGCATGGAAGAGAATCAGCTTAAGCACCCAGATAACAAATACAAAGCTACAGTTTCAGTTCAAATAGTACGAAGGAGTTAAGTGGAATTATTGGATTATCAATAATACACGAGCCATAAGAAAACAATCCAGGTCCCTATGCTTTTTCTTCAGTATTCAAATGGTTTGTTCTCTTACATTTCTATAATAATGTAAATTATAAATTGTATTTCTTGCTTTACTCAACTCATTGAAATTGTAATATAATTTTTATGTTTTTTTGAATTTTTGATATTTGCTCTGATATACTCTCTTATCCTATGCCAGGTAGAGTTTTAGGGAGATAAGTTGGTAAGATATATCCCGTATCCTGATTTTTGGGGTTTCCATATCCAGAACCTCCGCATCTCCCGCCATATCTCTCACTCAGGGCATATCTTCCTGCTTTGAAAAAAATTGTATGGTCTCCCTCGTGAGATATGCACATCTACCTTCGGTCCCTCAGGTAGATATGCATATATCCCTCCGGATAAACCCCATATCCTAAACCTCTCAGTACAGAACCCTTATTTACAGGTATTTAGTGCCAACCCTGTAAATCTAATAGTAGATAATTATAGTAAATAAATAAATAAAAAATAAACAAAATAAATCTTACTAGATTTTTCAATCAAACTAATCCCCAGTTACATATGCTAGCATGCATTGATGTGTATATGCACTATAATTGTACTATACATGTACTCTTTGATTAATCTTGGAAAATATGAGACTATTTTGAGTTTCTAATTGTGATTTTTTGCAAATGTACCCAGGTTTAATAGATTTTTTCAGGTGCTCTATCGATTTTGCAAAACATTGAACTTTAGGTTAATTGTTTTTATTTGCACACTATATATAAATTTATACATCGTGGAGAGCCATCCGAGAATGTTGAACTCGATGTAAGGCAAAATTTTGCAATGTTAGTGTAAAATTACCCCATTGTAATTTATCAGCTAATTCTTATCAAGTTGGTACTCAATCTACTTTTGCAACATATTTCATGTAGAACTACAGAGTGACACAAATATGCCACAAGCACATAAAACTTGCATTTAGCTGCATGAGCTAGTCATCTCAAACTTCTTTTGGAGTTGTTTCATGGACTCTAGTTGTAATGTGCAAAGAACAAGTCAGAATTCACGCAGACAAATAAGTTATGCAACATTGTGTGGGTGTGTGGCATGTTTGTGTCACTCTGTAATATCCAGGATCTTAATTTTGATGATTGTTGCTATTGTATTGCAAATTTCTTCCTTTTCACAAGTAATTTGCAAATGTTGATTGAAATTGATTCTAGATATTAGAGGCATCCTAACTGTCGCCTACATGCAGGTTTTAACGTCACAATTTTCATGAGAGTTGATTATTTTAATTGGTAACTGGAGAAGACGTCATCGCTATTGTACTTTACAAAGGGTTCAATGCCTGTTGTTTTGTGAATAGGTTTCTTCTGGGAATTAAAAAACGTGTTTTTAATATAAATATTGCAAGGTTACAAGCTAGGACTTTCTTCCAGAGCGACAAGACAACTAGTTACAGAATTGTCACCAAAATGTCTCTGATTTTTGCAATAGCTATCCAATTTACTCAAATTAAGTTTCAAAAGGTGTTTAGTTACTTTAACTTTAACTGAAAGAATGGGGAATTAGACAGTGTTTCTTTCACAATAGATTATAGTTTAGGACAGCAGAGGCGTAACCAGCAAATGTCAAGGGGGTTCAAAGTTTTTGTTTGCACCACTGCAAGTGAAGTGAGCCCCAAAAAGCGGAGTACAGGGGTTTACCCCAGAATTTTTTTAAAATTTACATATTATATGGTGCATTTTAAGCATCTCAAACAATGAATTTAATTTTTTTTCAAAATTGCTTTTTTCTTTTTTTATGTTGGGGTGGGGGGCAATTGCACTCCTCTCTGCGATCGCATCGCCCCCTGGCTACGCCCATGGATAGTTCGGGTTTGTTTTCCTTTTTGTACTTAGATTTTTTTTTTTTCTGCTGGGTGCTGTTATAATTTTTGGTCCGTTTTTTGGCACTTGTCACCTGTGTGACATGTTTCCCTTATTGAATCATTTTAATATATCAACAACAAATATTTATTATGTAGATTAAACTGGCAAAAATGAAAATGTTAAGAAGTAAATGAGTTAACAGATGAAGTCCACCATCCATTACCTTCTACTTGTCTTTTTAATGACTTTGATTATGATTTAGCATTGATGTATCTTACCTGTCAAAGTATTGTTAAGTAAGGATTCCATCTGTGAAGTCAGTTCTAATGGTTGCGATGTTTGTTCTGTTCTTGTCGTGAAAGGATGGGAAATAGTATTTGCTTCTGATATTGATTGTGTTGTTGGTTGTGATGTTGTTTCTGTAATTGGTTGTGTTTGTGTTGTTGATTGTGTTGAAGTTTGTGCTGTTGGTTCTGTTGTTGGTTCTGTTGTCATTTGTGTTGTTTGTGTTGTTGATTGTGTTGTTTCTATTGTTGTTTGTGTTGTTGATTGTGTTGGTTCTGTTGTCATTTGTGTTGTTGATTGTGTTGGTTCTGTTGTCATTTGTGTTGTTTGTGTTGTTGATTGTGTTGTTTCTATTGTTGTTTGTGTTGTTTCTATTGTTGTTTGTGTTGTTTCTATTGTTGTTTGTGTTGTTGATTGTGTTGTTTCTATTGTTGTTTGTGTTGTTGATTGTGTTGTTGTTTGAGCTGTTGGTTGTGTTGTCATTTGTGCTGTTGGCTGTGTTGTTGGTTCTGTAGTTATATCTGTTGTAGTTCCTGAAAAATATGCAAGCACGACAGTAGTACTATGATAGAAAGTCACTGAAAATCAATGGAGTAGCCAATCCCACCAAGCAAAACATATTTGATCAAATCACTATTTTATGTTGGAAATAACCAGTATGTGTCTCCTTTGGGAAAAAACTATTTCATGACATGTAACTCAGTATAATTATTTAGTAAAGCCAAATCAATTTACAGAAAATGAGAAATTTTGAGACAATTTTAGGAAAGTCCTCTTTGTTCAGAACCAAGTTTCTCTCTACGTATATCCCTACTCAGACTTTATTTAGTGGGACAATCATAGTAAGATAAGTGCAATGGTTTTTGGGGCTGTTAAAGGCACAGGCATGCATGTAAGCAAAAAGCCCATTGCTATTTATTAGCCAGAATATTGACCTTTTAAAAACATGAAGCATAGATTATGCGCTGGTCGAGCAACCTTCAATACACCAACAGTTTTCACCATTGCACTGTACATACAGTATACTGTATGTACAGTTTTCTTATGAATATAATGTTGTAATTCATGTTATCCCCTATGTTATCAATCATAAAAAATGAGAAATATTTTTCTAAATATCTGTCAAATAAGAAATCTCTTATTAAAATATATATTTATTTTGCAGTAGTGATTTTCCCTTCATCGTGATTTCCCATGTAATTGTATCCTATTTTATTTATGATTGGTTAGTAATATATGCGCCAACCCATGAAATGAGTAGCAATAGATTATGCGCCTGTCAAAGCAAACCTTCGATGCACTGACATATTTCCCAGATGCGCCGGTATCAAAGTTCTGCACCACGATGCACAAGAATATGACTTGGTCGCTGGACTGTACTGTATCTTACATAAACATAAAATATGCAGGATAAGCTATTGTGAAGTCATAACATCTAAGATTTCAAGCCAAGAAAACTTTTTGTTGTTCATACAAAGGGACTTAAAGGGTGACGCATATCGTTTAGCAAATCGAACGCTCGTTTCTGGTGTTGCTCACCGTTTGGTATAAAAGGCCCGATCCCGGAATAATACTCAAGGGTTCACAGGTTCGAGGTCGTTGTGTCAACACCTCTAACTGTTATATAGCATAAGTATATTATAGATCGTCACACATTTATAAAAGGGTGATTTTTATTTTGACAAATCAATTCCACATTCATGGGTGAAGTTTCAGGATCTTCTATTTGTGTATAATAAGGAAAAATTGGCATCTAAATTTCCCCATAACGTAATAGCACACAGTTTGGCATATGAAATATCCTACAAATGAAACAAAGCGAGACAAACCGGTTTCTAATACAAGGATTTATATTGGCTGTTGTGTATGTATTCTTTGAACGCAATCACTCTTTGGATAACGTTTTCAAAATCATTATAAACGGATTACTTTATCTCAAAGACAATTTCAATAAACTGGATTTTACTGAACTCCCCTTATTTCTTAAAAATGGACTGATCCAGTTGATTCGCCTGGAGCCGCCATATTGTTTTTATACGGGATGCTAATCGGAACCCTTTAACAGACCAGGTGTGGTATGAATAACTAGACAACAGCAACGCCAAAGCGTAGCAAATCCCATCAAACAGCCATGGCTGGCATTTTTACAAACAAAGTATGTAGCAAAAATGGCAGCCATTTTTCAAAATGGCCACCTTCTACCAAAAGTGTCATTAGACAGTGTTTCATGGTAGTATTCACATACCAAATATGAACAAAATCGCTCCTTTACTTTTCGAGTTATAGTAAAATATGTTAAAATGGTGGCCATTTTTCAAAATGGCCACCTTCTACCAAAAGTGTCATTAAACAGTGTGCCATGCTTATAGTATTCACATACCAAATATGAACAAAATTGCTCCACTACTTTTCGAGTTATAGTAAAATATGTTAAAATAATGTGTAAAGCCATGTGCTTCTTTAATATCTACATTTCTAGCTTTATTAATGTCCTATATAATTTTTTACATTTAAAACAATACAGTTTTACATATTGCACCTAAATTACTGTAAAATCGGCACTAAAATGGCTGCCATTTTTTAATGAGCAGCCATTTTGAAAATCGGCTTTCGAGCAGAACTTCAACCCCTAAACAAACCCCAAAATAGTAAATATAATAGAACCATGTCAGGTTATTTAAAAGTTTCAAACTCTAGTTATTAACAGTCAGTATTGATCCATACCTTGAGTTGTCACATTTACAGTAGTCTCACTCCCTAATGACAGAATACCAGCTGGATCACACATACCATCTGCGCAGGGAGTATCTAGAAACAATATATATACAAGTTATTCACAATAATTTCATTTATGGCAATGTGAGAGTCAGTTATTTGGTTTAGGTGACTGGGTAGGAACGAAATTTTTCAATGAAAATGCGTGACATATACGGTATTCGCGTGAAAAGTCCAAACGAAATGTGTTCGTTTTTTTGCTGTATCAGGAATCACTTTTTGAAGTTTTTTTACAGAAATATTTTTGCTTGACAATAATCAGGTAAAATGTGTATTTGCGTGACATATTCTGTCACCCAAAAATAACTGGCGTGACAAATTTTCCAGCAAGTGTGTGACAAATACGCAAATTGCGGGACAGTTTGATATTATATCTCCATACACTAAAATCATTGTGCACTTACTGACATCCCGAAGGCAAATAAATTGCATTTGTGTGTCACAGCTTGAGGCCTGGATCCACTTTCCATCGGGCTGTATATAGACACAGCCACCTGTTAGTCCAGTTTTTTCTCCATTGGAATCCCATTCCTCAAACGTAACTGGTGTCCCATCAACCCATATCCAATTTTTGTGTGAGATCTGCTCAAGGCCGATCCACATGGTAGTTCCACTCCCTCTGGAAATTGAATACATCCATTTGAATGTATCATCAAATACTTTGACATCTTTAATGACATGTTAAAAGTATGTGGCTCTCCCAGCTACACAGGGAGATTTATTTCCATCCTTACACACATGAAAGGCTATACGCTGTATTTTGTATCCCAAGGCTTGATGTTTGCTCTCTAATATTGTGCAGTTCACTTTTGTACAGAAAGGACAATTTTCGGTTAGGAGAACCTAATTCAACTGCTCATTTCAACATTATCAATGTCGCCAAAGATTTTCTGTTTTTATGCATTGTAGATTTAAATATCCTGTTTTGTACACTTTAGTTTCAATAATGGAAATATTTTTAATTTTTTCATAAAAAAATATTAGGCAAGCCCCCCCCCCACATTGTTTTTATTTGTCTCACCTCAAACACTCAGAATTTGATTATAAAGTAAAAGCAACAAGGCATTAACATGACAAAACGTCACCACCTAGTTGCTCACAATATTATGAGTTCAATCTGAAGCAAGATTTGATTTTCTGAGAACTTGTAGATGATTTTAAAAAAATAAATTGGTCAATTTGAAGCAAGTTGAAAAAAACGTTTTTGACTCGGAGAAGGTCATTGAAGGTGAAATCTCAAATCTAAAGTCAGAGTTGAACTTCTGATAACTTGTAAATGATTTTGAAAAAAAATTGGTCAATTTGAAGCAAGATGACCTTGACAGACCAAGAGATAAGGTCATTGGATTGTTAAAAATCTGTCTCATGGAGTCAATATTTTAAAATGTTTTGCAACTTTATATAAAACAATAAATATGGGGATAGCTATTTAGCTATTTCTACAGTAATGAATAAACGTTATTTAAGTGAATACATACATAATTAATACGAATGATCCTTTTTATCAAGCTAGAGAAATAGCAATTATGTATTTTCTGCAAAAATGCTGTGTTATATCACTGATGGATCCAGAATCAAGGAGTCAGTTTGGCTTATTTCTAACCACACTAATGAATATTAGAAACATGAGTTTTCGTGTTCGAATCGTAATATAGACCTCAGATCAGGTGTAATAGCGTTGAATACACCCCTCATGGCTAGGCACAAAAACTTTCGAACAGAATACGTTTGTGTCTAGCCCTGTGGAGTGTATTCGACGCTAATACCCCTGCTCTTCGGTCTATATTTCTTAATTATGGTCCATTATGATGTCACACATTACCAGGGGTATTGTTTGCGAATATACACCAGGTGAAATGTTGACCTTGTTCACAGTTTATAGATGGCCTGAATACAGTCATGTTTGAATTCTTTATATGACAGTGGAAATGAACTGTTTTTCTTAGTCATCTTTCAACTCCGCCCCTGTATATAATCCAGCGTTAAGTGGCTTAATGGAAAATGTGCGTCATGGAATATGATGGACAGTAAAATGTATTGAACTGATCAACTAGGAAGTGAGGAGTTCTTTTAATTAGAGCACACCATGTTTTAATGGCTTTTAATTCACAGAAAAACACTCCAAGTTATTGCCTTTGTATGTTTTACTTACACAAATAGTGTAATAACACAAAATAAAAAATCAAGTGATTTGTACTTTAAAGTTGCAACAAGAGCTTTGGAGGGTACTTTTGACTTTCATTACATTTTCTGGGTTATCAGGTCAAAAGTAAGTTAAACATCTACAACATCTATTTGTACTTTAACCTACTTCCTCTTTAATTTGTTTTAAGTTGGCCTAGCATGTGATGCAGTATCGGAAAGTCAACATGATTAGCAATAAAATGACACATGTTACAAACAAATCAATCTCGTTACTTTTGTTTTATTTCTATATTGTGTTTTGTACCTTGTCACAGAAAAAAATTTGGATCACCCTCGACAGTATAATTTACTTCTATGAAAGTATCAATGTTGAAACATGCGAGATGTATCAATTACAATTACAAGGGTGTGGCAATTGACTGTACGATTATGTTTCACTTATTGAGAACTATTTACCTAGTAGATTAATATTTTTAATGCATTGACATGTTTGAAACTATTCCAAAAATAGATGTTTGTGATATTATTACATAAAGTCAAGATCAATTTTATGATATATCAATAAAATCTATAATAAAAATAAGGTAAACTGAAAATAACTTTGCTTGAGAAAGAGGACAAATTTCTTAAAAATAACAAAACATCTGTGAAATTTTGCAATAAACATTGAATTTAATAATTACAGTAGAAACTGAGTAACGGAACACACGTGACACCTCAAAATATATAGTTTAAGACTTACAGACATTCATTTAATTACACTAAGTTTAGCAGTAACATAAATTCGGAACGTGTTCTACATATGAAGGTTCTCAATTCCAGCAAAGTTCCACTTTATAGGTTTTACTGTAATTAATCAAGAAGGTGCCATATATTATTCATGGTCAGCTAGCAATGGTCGAGTGTTGACATTAGTGGAAATAACAGATATGCTATTTTGGGGAATCAATGCTCCCCATAATAGACATAGCAATATAAAATATCAATAGAAGCTTTTAATCTATTAGTCCATTTTAGTCAATGTTAGCTCAGAGATTCAAAACAAATCAAAGATAATATGATCTGAATTGGTTATTTGCTCAGTTATAATCTATATGGCATTGGAAATGTGTGAAGGTTAAATAATTATATAATTTATAATTGGTTAAATAATGATCCAGCTTCACCTGCTTGCCAATTTAATGAATAATTTCTCATCTCCAAATTGGTTCAGTAAGTAATTTATAATTCATATTTGGTTGGCACAAAAACTGAGCGATAGTTTATCCATGGAAAAATTGTTAAAATAAATGCTTTTTTCTGAATAAGCATTTCTAAAACCAGGCAAACTATTTATAAAAATGTTTTTTCTGGTTCATGTCATTAAGTGATGCCTATTTTGAAAACAAAATTCTTCATTTTTCATCCTTAATGTCCGACAATTGAACTTTTCCAATAATACAATGCTTTTTATGCATTATGCATAAGTTCAATAACCATGGAAGCATCACAGGGAGATATGCCGAGTACTTAAATAGTACTCATGGCACTGAGCACTTACGACATGAGTACTGATTTATTGCATGTTTTATTACTAAATGAGTACTCATTTTATGAGTGATAAAATAGTGCTAATTTCATTGATTTTTAGCGCTAAATTGGTACTCATATCATGAATTAGTACTAAATTAGCACTCGTGGCATGAGTGCGTATGAGCACGCTTTTGCATGAGTGCTCATGAGCACGCTTTTGCTAGAGTGCTAATTTAGTACATATCTCCCTGTACTGTGTAGATAGAGCAAAATTACAGACTTGCTACTTGCATTTTAGTTTCTCATAAATCTGATTACTTACAGCGTTGTTGCAAGATCATTTTCAGTCGAATCCTCAATGACAATTAAAGTTGATCCTGTTCCATTACAGGCTGTTTCAGCTTCAGAATGTGTAGCTAACATAGTTGAGCTGTAGTAACAATCATCTCCAACTAACGTCCATGCAGATGGACAAGCCAGAAGTGAGCCTGGAAAAATATGTATAAAACTTACTATTTGTTTACAAGAAAAAATGGTAACATTCAAGAGTGGGAACTTTAATAAGGCAAAACTATTGAAATAGATCCATAATGGTATGATTCTTGATGGCTCACTTGTGTATGTATTATCTATAGTAGCTTTTTATTTTATAAATTAACGAGGCTTTAATGATCCAGAATGAATATGATTCTTGACAGCTTATGTATGTGTTTTATTTTAAATTAAGCTTTTTAATGAAATAAACTTAATTCTACCCTAGTGTGTTCTTGATGTATGCATTCAATTATTTGGACTAATGAAGTACATGCTTCCGAAATATTTATTTCAGCTAATTACAGAACTGTTTACTGGGAACTATATGCATGGACAGTATCATCTTAAAAGTAAGAAAAAAATGATGAAACATTGTCTTTTATAAATTTACTAGTATTATGCTATGTTTTTAATTCTCTAAAACTCAAGTTCTGATATAAATAAAATAAATAAATGTTACACCTGTGCCCTATAGTCATTTTTGGGGTTGTTGAGGTGGCCGAGTGGTCTAAAGCACTGAGCACGCTAACCTAGGTGATGTCACTGCAAACCTAGGTGATGTCACTGCAACCCTGAGGTCATGAGTTCAAGACGCGTGGGCTCCGTGCATTTATTCATTTATATATGGAAAAGTAGTAGACAGAAGGCCTTCCTTATAAATATTTATTTGGTTAATATGACACATCAGGAAATGATGAACTGTTGTGTACTGTATTAATTTCCTTTTCTACGACAGATACTGCTTCGGAGGTTTTTATCGGAATTTGCTTAAGTATGACATGACATGCAAGTAATTAAATAGTTTTGTTAAAGTAACAAAAATAAGCAATAAATAGAACTTGCAAATTTTATCAATTTCAAATTTATGCAACACTATTTTAAACTCAACAACTTTGAATTTTTTTCTCTCTGACACGGGAAATGTATACTAATGTAAGATGAATAATTCATAATTATAAGGCATATATTTACTATAAGCATCCAATTAAGATAAGCCCTGTATCCACAAGAAAGGAGATTAAAATAAGATTTTTCCATGTCAGGTAATTAAACCCGTTGTTAAAAAGAAAATTTCATTCTTCCCATGACACTATTCTGGTATGCCAGAGCCCCTCTTATCTGCCGTTTGTTCACTTTGGAAGGATAAATACAAAGGGGACGCGGCTATTGCGATGACATAACACAGCAAGTGGATGGTATGTGAGGTCACCATTCATATATAAAAGACAACAGTATACATTATTGATAGGAGCTTAGTCGTGCCCAATGGCTTATCAAATTAATGCACCACCGAAGAACTGATACCATGATTTCACTTTTTAATGCCAACACATTCTTATTAAACATAATAGTAAAATATACATAATATAATTTACTTTCTAAATTACTTTCCCTTAAATCAAAGTTTGCATTTATGGCGGTAATTTTTAAAATGATAAAATATGGTAGTTCAAACTGAACATATATTTAATAAGATGCATGGAAGAGTGTTTTTCATTATTATATACTATAAGATATAATCAATTAATAAGCATTATCTTTTTAAAGCAGTTGATTGTTCAAGATGCAAGTTTTTGGGAAATGTACAATCCAGAGGATAATCGTTTTATAGTAACATGCTCATGATCATCCTTGCTGCAAGGGTATTTTACAAGTAATTTTAAGCATAAATGAAGTCCTTTGAAGAAGGATGGCTCATGATAACTTAGTCATAAGATAATCATAACAAAATAATGCAAAAGACATACCACAACATTTTATAATGGTTTGTTTGATGAAAATGTATTAAATTATACAAAAGCTATTTGCAGGTATAGGCTTAGTTCACACAAGTTACACGTAGAGCTTGGTCGTCATTTAAAGCAAAAGCCAAAATTAATGTTTATGCAGTATATTGGAAGATGACCAATATTTCTTATGGGTTGCAGAAAAAATACAACAGAAAGAAAACTTCTGTTTGACATCATTAGATAATTTGAAGGTGCAACAATTAGTGCAGATATAAGATTCAACGATCATGGACCAGTATCAAAATATATTTAAGTACAGATATTCCATCAAAACTATCATATATTTTTATTATCTCCAAAGAAACCCCCTGGATGAACATTATTTCAGCTGATATTCCTCTTGAAACGTGGTGTAGAAGCTTTGCACGTGGTGTAGAAGCTTTGCACTGAATTTACACTTCTTAATTCTGAAATTGATAATTTATCCATACATTTTAAGAAAATAGGTATGTCAAAGAAGACGTTAAGCCAAATGTTGCCCCTTTAATTTTGTATACAGTGCTGAATGTTATATTTAAAAAGCTTAAGTCGCATAAAATTCTTGTTATTTTACATTAGGAAAGTTCATTTATCATTCGTTTAAAGAATTGATTAATATAGGGTCAAAGATACATCACACTGATATTTTAACATTTTGTTATGCTGTATTTTAAACTGACTTATGACTAATTTTTTCTATACTTTGTCATGCTGTATTTACTAGCTAGTTTAGTTTATTTTTGTATATTGTACACTGTTGTGGCTAATATGTCATTGTAATGCCATCAGAGTAAATAAAAAGAAAAATATATAATGGACCATTTACATGACAGTATATAAACAAACTATTATTTAAATATAACTATAAGATTTAAAAAATAGACCATTTAAAAATAACCATTATATAAAGATAACTATGAGATTTAAAAAAAAAATTACACTTTAAATTAAATAACCATTATTTAAAGAAAACAATATTTTTGTTTAAAAAATACACTTTATATAAAATAACCATTATTTAAAGATAACCTTTAAGATATATAAAAAAATTACACTTTATATAAAATAACCATTATTTAAAGATAACCTATAAGATATATAAAAAAATTACACTTTATATAAAATAACCAGTATTTAAATATAACTACTGTATAAGATTTCAAAAAAATTAAAATATTTTATTTGTTTACTTTTTTTGATGTGTTTTATCTTGCTGGATTAATAATTACAATTACCTTAGAATTCAGAATAGCAAAATAAAAAAAGTTATTAAAATTGAACTCACCTATTTCTAGTAAAACCAATATAAGTAGTAACATTGGTATGTCGATTGTAAAAAATTGTGTAGTTGTTTTCCTTTTTGACATTCTATTATAATATGATATTTTAGTTGTTTCTAAAATGTTCATCTACAAGTTTACATCTTGATGTCCATTATTCAAGGCTGCTGCATCGTGTTTACTAAAATTTCCAAGTGTCCCTCTTACTCTCCAGAGTTGAAGAATGAATCTATAACTGATTAATTATTTTGATGTTTAACTTCGCTGTAATAATCAATTTTGTGATTGAATTGGACATACTCTACTTAATTTGTTTCATTAGGCTTATACAACTTATACATGTGCATTAGCTAAGCAGACTAATTGCATTCCATTGTTTTATTCCCTACTGCAAGCGAAGTTACATCAGTCCTTTTAATGATATCAAATATATTTCTGCATCAGTATACTTTATCCATTGACACACTCTGTGAATAGCTTAACATAGAATCTTCATTTTATTCTTCATATTACACTTGTCAGAATCACTTTAAAGGTCCTGTGTAAATTTTAAATATTGTTGTTGTATAATTCAATCATCATTTGAAAAGGTGCTTTTTACAGTTTTAAGCATACTGAAAACATTTTCTGGACTGGTTTTTAAAAAGCCATTTTAACAAAGCATATAGTATTACATTTGAACAAACACCAATTTTAAAATCATTAAATAGATGTCAATTACCATTTTAATTTCAATCATGCAATTTTTCTTCACCTTTAATTTTTTAGTTTTATCACAAGGTAACACAGCAACATCCTGCAGGTTGTATTATTTTAAGAAAAATTTTGATTTTTCTATTTAAAAAAAAAGTTTGTAATGAATATCATATGGTATATGTTAAATCATTGTATTATATATCATTTTAGAGAAAAATTATTTCCCAACAATATGACAACAAGGATGGGTGACCAAAACAAATTCACAATGGATTTCCAAATTGTGGAAAATGTAGGGAAACTTGCACTCTGGCACCTTCAAAAGAGGCATACACGTATTTATACAAGTTTAGTGCAAATATCACTAAATGACAAATTGTTCACCACTTTTAAAAACAAATACAATCCAAGTTAAAGGACTAAAAACATTATTTTATTACATTTTTGAAAAGAGCATTTCTAGACTACCTTGAAGACATAGATTCAACATTGTCAAATCCAAATACAGTGCAAAAATCACATTTTAAAGAAAGAAGGTGAAATAAAAGAAAGAGAGAAGGTACAATATAAGCCAGAATAGATTCCATAAGGCCTTTAAGGAAACAGTTTATGTCATCAATCATCAATGAAACAGGTTTCATTGATCATATCAATTTGTTATTATCATTGAATTACCTGAGCTAATAAGAGAGTCAAGGTGCATCCATTCCATTAAGGTAAAATATAAAAATGCAAGTTGTCCCCAATATTAAATGTACAATTGGAAAGGTAATGTTCAATATACCATTGGAAAGATAATGGTATCATCTTTAATGATATGGACTGCTTCTATAAAGGGTGTCCCGAAAGTATGGGCCCCCCTAGGCAGACATATACCAGTGTTGTCATAGTATGTGTCATATATCATTTTAAAGCTTATCCAAAGTTACATTGATTCGCCAAGTATCATGGTTCAACTCTCAAATGTGAAAAAATTACAGGCATTTCAAAATTTAGTGTTTGGTCAAAATTAAGTTCAATTTTACACCAAATCACTAGTCAATGTATCCTCCCGGGCCATCTTAACAGCAGCAATTCTTTTCGGGTCGGAGGGATATTGAGTTGGAAAAAGAGAACGGTGAGGGTAGAAACTTTAAGGAAACTCTTCTAAAGTCCCTTAACAGGTTTTAAGAGGGTTATAAAATTCCACACCCCTATTTGAAGGGCTTTTAAGGTCATATCTGAAAATAATTGCTGCTGTTAACATGGCCAAGGGGGGACACGTTGACTAGTAATGTGGTGTAAAATTGAACTTTATTTTGACAAAACACTAACTTTTAAAATGACTGTAACTTTTTCCCATTTGGGAGTTAAACCATGATACTTGGCAAATCAATGTAACTTTGGATAAGCTTTAAAATGATATATGACACATACTATGACGACACTGGTATATGTCTGCCTAGGGGGGGGGGGCATACTTTCGGGACACCCTGTAGATTCAATCGTTATAGCTTCAAGATTTTCTCATTCTTTGTTGAAGAATTCAAAAAAAGCATTTGGTGAAATCATTGTCATTAAGCGACCCTATGAATATCTTTTGTTATTATATCACTGACATATTCCTCACTCTCTAATTGGTCCATGTCCTACACATGACTAAAAAATAACAAGCGATATTCAACGGGAGTCACATGACTTCCGTTAAATATCAAATGATATTCACCAGCGACGACTTAGTTCAGTGTAATTTTACTTTTATATACACCTAGGAGTACATTGTAATGATTAATTAGACATCAGTAGTTTGTTTTTTCATTAATGAGAGTGAGGAATATAACAGTGGATAATAAAACAAATATTTAATTCTAGCTTATTCGCAAGATAATATACCACTAACCCTCCAGGCTTCGTGGAATATCACTGTGAAAGATGCACAGGTATTAAATAGAATTAAATAATTGTATATCATTGTCTTCTTAGAAATACAATTTGTCATTTTCTGTATGCTTTTATCTTCGTTTAAGTAAATTATAACCTTATTTGTATTGAAAATATTATTATTTGGTTCCATTTATTGCATCCATATTTATGTAAAGCAAAAAATTATATGTGTAATACACCACATTTTTGTTGAGATTACAACAATCGTGGGCTTTCAATTAGAATTAAGGTTAATTAAAAGAAACAACAATTAAGGTTTATTATAATGAAACAACACCTGTATTTGTTCAGTAATGACCCCATCTAACATGACAATTGATGGAACTTTTTCATTCCTCAACTGAAAAGTACACAGATCGAATACTTTTAGAGTAATTGTAAATATACCTCCAGTCTCATGTTTGGAAATTTAAATCATTAATCAGAAGAATCAATTATGCTGGGTGTAAATGCAGTCCAAGGTATTATGTTTATTTGAAGGACCCATGCTGTATTTGTTGAACAACTAACAAATATGATTTTGTTCTGTTAATTAAATATGTACCACTTTAAGTGCCATAATATCATAATATATGTTATTGATCCATCATTAATGAAATTTTTGCCCAAGATCCCATTACATTTATAATTTATATTCTCCATGGTCTATGATAGATTTATGATCACTTTTAAACCAGTCCAGGTACTGAAGGCTTCCATGAAATTACATTTGAGTTTATCTTGGGATAGAATCTTATGCAGCATGATATTATGAGTGCTACTATTTGTACAATGATGTAGAATATTTTTTCCAATGTGAGTCTACTGCATTACACTTTTTTATGAACAGAACTAAAAATTTAATATTCATAATGGTCAAGCAGGTTTTAGTCAAAATTTTTAAACCACGAACTGTATAATTTTAGCAATTTCTATTTAAATGTTTAACAGTATGTGATTTTAATGTAGACATACCTAGCATTTAATTGTTAGGGTGCTGCTGTTCTAAAAGCATATGTCTAAATAAAAAAAATAGATAAATAAACAATGGGCCTGTGAGTTTATAATAGTTTTTACACCTGGAATCTCATTGTATACCCAATATCATTCTAATATGTTAAGAATTATCATAAACTTACAATAAAACTCTTTACAGGTACTTCCGGTCTTAGAATTTGAAAAATGATATCTAAAACGATCCAGTTTTTTTAATTCCTAGCGTAATTTGCGGCTTTTTACAACTACTGATAGAATATAATCAAATTGGAATGATCTTGACAAAGAAAGGATCAGGTAAAATCTTTATTTTTAAACCATTCCAATGCATTCGGAGTCAAAATTGCAAAAAAATGAAATGTTGATTTGTCGGATGGCAAACTAAAATGGCTTTGAACCCCCTCCACCCAAACTAGATTTATCTAGTTTTTAATCCTACATCAAACTTTTGATGCCTCCCTTAGACTGGTTTTATAAGGTTTAATTGAACATAAAATCCATGTTAAAATATTAATACGAAAGAAGTCATTTTTCCAATAAAAGATAAATTATTACATATATATACACAACAGCTTGTCTGGGTCATTGATTTCATGTTCTTTTAAGAAAATTTAAACTAATAATATGGATTAATTCTCACATTCCTACATGTATGATCAATGGCTTTAGTCTTTATTCTTTTATTATGCACTTTTATCCAATTCATATGAAAACCAACGCATTTTTATAATAATTATTGAAAGAAGGTATCTGTGATCTAAAATGATAAGGATATTCACATGGGTGAGCTTTAAGGCTAAAGGAAATATGATATTACCATTTGATTTGAATTGATTTCTAGTTTAGAAACATTCCCGCCTTTCTCCTGCTTAATTACACCCATGACATCTATAAAAAGTAATAAAGTTTCTAAAATCTACCCACACATCAATTTTAGAAGCCAATTAATTCATTTTTTCACTTAACAATTTTTTTTATAATACCTTTGAAATTGAAAATAAGGTTTATTTTCAAGTCAATTGATTGTACAAATTATATATCATTATGAACAAGAAATATATTGTTATTGCTATGTAACAACTCACATAATAATTATGGGAAATTGCATAGATTTTATATAGAAATAATAGATATTGCGCCATTGTCATGATTGTTTTGTAATCATAACAGACATGCAAACTGAACAATTGTAGACAAAATCAAATGCTAACAATTCTTTTTAGCATTTGTTGTTATTCAAGATTATGAAGATTTGGAAACACTCTGCAACCCACTCTCGGAAGTTCATTCAACTCATATAATTGACTTTAAACATGAATATTTTCAAGATAATAACTTATTTTGAAGATATTAAACATTTAGAGCTGAGCTTAGAACCCGAGAACAGTGAAAATGGAGAACATGAAAACAATGAAAATGGAGAAAATTAAAACAATGAAAATGGAGAAGATGAAAATGGAGAAAATGAGGACAGTGGAAATGTTGAAGATGCTTTCAGTTTTGTTCTTACTGACATCAATCAATCTAGTAGAATGCCAATTGTACATGAAAACAGAAAACACCAGGAAGAACTTTACAATTTTGGAATCTTTTGGAGTTGCATTTCCCTCAAAGTGTGCCATTCAATGTTCTCTTAATAAGGATTGTAAGAGTTACAACATTGTGCATCTAGAACAGGAAGCACTCAGATGTGAACTTTGTGCTAATGATGGGATCTGTGTGAATAAAAGAAGTGATTCTGACCATTACAGCCCAAATGATGCTCCAAAACAAGGTAATAAAAATCAGATTGATTACATGTGGTGATAATTAAACAATTTATTTAGCCAACCATTTTTAAAATTTTTTGTATCATTAATGATACTAAACTAAAAAGACATAAGTTTCTTAAACCAACTGATATATAATACAAGAACTATGGCATTGGCATTTGACAATGAAAGAACAAACTTCTTTCTGTGATTTAATCATGTTGTGAACAACTGTCACCTTGCCTTATCTCTCCAAATATTCCAACTAAATAATACTTGGGTGACAATGCATTCATTGATTGGGGAAATGATCAAAGACATATTTTTTTAGACAGATGCATTCAGAAAAGATTGATGATACATGCATTTTAGTGATAATTAATCAATATTTTTAGGGGTGTTTGCAACTGTGTATGCCACTGTCTTAAAAGTCATGCCAATGATAAAGAAAAAAAAATCACATCTTGTATCTTTATGCTGTACTTTCCAATTTTACTTTTACTGAATACTGTTTTGATCACTTCCCTAATGGTCATGTTCTTTTGTTTTTGAAATAACTGGTTTGAGTTTATTTCGTGTCATTTTTATTTCTGCATATTGAAAAACACAATGATGCATGAGAAAACGCACTTATAATCTAAAACAAAGGCAATGTGTGTGTCCTTGTCGTATGATGCAAATTTCAAAACAACAAGAGCTATTGAAACAGTAACTACAAAAAAGGTAAATTTAAATTGCCTCAATTATATTATAATCAAAGTCAAAGAACATACTAGGAGATTATTGAGACATTTAATTCACACTGAAATTGTTCATTTGTTCTTAATGATCTTACAATGTTCTTCAAGATGGCTGTCCTAACAACTGTGATGATGTTAATTACAATGGTGTGGCATCTATTCCAATACAAGGAGGGAGATACGTAGATGTTTACTGTAGTATGGGATGCATCTACATGGCAAAGAGATATGATGGAAATGTGAATTTTTATCGCACTTGGGTTGAGTACCAAAATGGATTTGGTGATCTTAATGGAGAACATTTTGTTGGACTTGACAATCTTGCAGGTTTGTTATCCCAAAGGAAATACAAACTTAGGATTGATCTCACAACATGGCCAGATCTCAACACAACAACAGGTTATGCGGAGTATTTAACATTCAATATTGGTGATGAAAGTGTTAACTATCGCCTGGAGGTTGACACATACAATGGCACCGCAGGCAACTCTCTGATTGATCAAAATGGTATGGAATTCTCAACAAAAGATCACGACAATGACCAAGAAAGTACATCATCTTGTGCAGTGAACTTTCATGGTGCATGGTGGTATAAGAGTTGTCATAGCTCTAATTTATTTGGAAGATATGCAAGTGGGCCTAATTGTGATAATTATGCTGAATGTATCATTTGGGGAAAATGGTCTGGTGAAACAGGGAGCATTGAAGCCTTTTCCTATTCTTTTAGAATGGTTGATATGAAAATTTGCCCAATTTGAGGTGTTTTGAAAGTTAACATTAATTACACAGATTGAATGAAAAAGAAGTCAAGAAGTTTTCAAAATACTGAACTGATCTTCAGAAACAAAATTAGAGAAAGAAGATAAAAATCTGACGTGGTTCTTACATGTCATCATGTAACTCATCACTTGTTTACCATCTTATGTTATAAGATCTTGAAATTACATGTATGAAAGATATGCTAGCATATCTAATTGTCATTCATTAGGTGTTAATGATTATGCAGGGATATTTGAATAAAAATGTCCTATAAAAAAAAGTACTAGATACAATTAAATGATTTATGGATGTTTCATATTACAAAACTTTCTAATGCATGGAGCCTGAAATTATTTATATTTCAATACAAACATTTAAGTCCCTGTATATATGCTCATTAGGCTCTTGCAAATTTCAAGTGTGGATTTATATGTCCTAAGCACAAGATTCCATTCTATGTTTTCTTGAACCAAATTAAATATTTCAGGTGACCTACTACAACTGTCACGTGTACCAAATGCACTGTACTGTGACAGTGGATATAAGATACACATGTT